CTGTCACTTTGTACAGAGGTCTGCTCTGTCCCACCCTCTTCATGTATGTCCCTGTCACTTTGTACAGGGGTCTGCACTGTCCCACCCTCTTCATGTGTGTCCCCTGTCACTTTGTACAGAAGTCTGCACTGTCCCACCCTCTTCATGTATGTCCCCTGTCACTTTGTACAGAGGTCTCCACTGTCCCACCCTCTTCATGTATGTCACCTGTCACTTTGTACAGAGGTCTCCACTGTCCCACCCTCTTCATGTATGTCACCTGTCACTTTGTACAGGGGTCTCCACTGTCCCACCCTCTTCATGTATGTCCCCTGTCACTTTGTACAGAGGTCTGCACTATCCCACCCTCTTCATGTATGTCCCCTGTCACTTTGTACAGAGGTCTGCACTGTCCCACCCTCTTCATGCATGTCCCCTGTCACTTTGTACAGGGTCTGCACTGTCCCACCCTCTTCATGCATGTCACCTGTCACTTTGTACAGAGGTCTGCACTGTCCCACCCTCTTCATGCATGTCCCTGTCACTTTGTATAGAGGTCTGTAGTGTCCCACCCTCTTCATGTATGTCCCTGTCACTTTGTACAGAGGTCTGCACTGTCCCACCCTCTTCATGCATGTCCCTATCACTTTGTACAGAGGTCTACACTGTCCCACCCTCTTCATGCATGTCACCTGTCACTTTGTACAGAGGTCTGCACTGTCCCACCCTCTTCATGTATGTCCCCTGTCACTTTGTACAGAGGTCTGCACTGTCCCACCCTCTACATGCATGTCACCTGTCACTTTGTACAGAGGTCTGTACTGTCCCACCCTCTTCATGTATGTCCCCTGTCACTTTGTACAGAGGTCTACACTGTCCCACCCTCTTCATGCATGTCACCTGTCACTTTGTACAGAGGTCTGTACTGTCCCACCCTCTTCATGTATGTTGCCTGTCATTTTCCAGATGATTCTCCCCCTCCCACACACCCTGTGCCCTTTTCCCAGACCATTGCCACCGTCCTCTTTAGAGGACCCCATCCTGCTGCCGGGCCTCCTGGCCAGGACTCTCCCTGTCACCTTCTGGTCCTTTGTGGGGCTGGGCTGTGCCCCCAAGCGGCCGGCTCCCCGTGCCTGTCTGTGGGTTGGACAGGTTAATGATTAAATACGCTGGGTGAGATCTTGCTGGTGATTATGCAGCCTCTAAACGTTTGACCAGGCAAGAAGCACGAGTGAGTGGCAGGCAGGCCATTTGGAGCACGAGGTGGCTGGGCCGACAGCCCTGCCCTGCCCTGCCACCACCCAAGGCGGGGCTGAAACTGCCCAGCAGCATGGACTGTGTGTGCAGTGTCTTGGGGTCCTACTGCAGGGCAGTGTCACCTCCATCAGAACAGGAGCAAGGCTGCTGTGAGCAGCCCCGGAGGGTTCTGCTTGGTCGTCACCGCTCGGCCCAGGTGCCCGAGCACGCTGGGACCCTGGCTCGTGACGCTGGCCCCCCAGGGCTCCCCAGAGCTGCGCCACCTCCTGCTGCACATGGCCTCTGGAAGCTGGCGTCATTTTCTTCTGGGACCCACGGACTGCTGGGCTGTGCACTTGGGCAGGAGTGACAGAGATCATCTGTGGAATGACGTCAGCCCCGGGGTTCAGATTGCCGAGGGTGGGTGTCTCTGGGAGGGGCGCCTCCTGGCTGGGGCACGGTTGCTCTGTGGGACGCTGCCGGTCATGCTTGGGCCAAGGTCTCAGCTAGAAGGGGGAAGGCAGAGCCGAAACTCCGTTCTCGTCCTGGGAGAGGAGCGGCCCAGCACACACGGCCGGTCCTGCCCTGCCTTCGCGCCAGCCCGGGGAGTGATTTATTCCGCCGAGGGAGCTGCGGTTTTGTGCACCACGTATCGGTGTCGTTGAAACCTTGTTTTGAGAGGAAAATAGCAATTAATGTTTGGAAATAGGAAATAGCTTTCCAGAGTTGCGGCGGAAGAGACCCAGTAAAAACGACTCCCGGGAGCTCCCCAAAGGTGAAGGGAGGGTTTGTGAATGGTGTTTTCTGTCTGGGAGCTTGGCAGCCTAGAAGTGTAAGCATGAACCAAAGCGAGGCTGCCCAAACCCAGCGGGGAGGGCGCGAGGCTCCTGCGGGCTGGCGGGCTGGCCAGCAGCCGTGTCCCAGAGGGGACAGGTGGCAGGGTCGGCTGTGTCTGGCCGCAGGACCGAGGCCTGCGGCCCCAGCTGTGCTGCTGTCACGCAGGCCGAGGGCAGGTGGAGGGCCAGCGCTCTGAGAAGCCCTGGTTTGCCGGGGCCCTGCACACGCATTTCAGCTCAGTGGGTAAAGCAGCCGGAGACCCGAGCCCGCGGGAGCCGCTGAGGACTGCTCCCTCCGGGGTGGCCACGTGCGGTGTTGCTGGAGAGATGGGGCCGTCTCCACCGCAGGGGGCTCTTTCTGGGGTCGTTCAAGAGCTGCCCCACCATGAGAATTATGGCTTTTAGACTTGGAGTAGGAGAGTTCAGGGGACCTCAGCCTGGGTGCGCTTAACTCCTAGATTAAACCGCCCGGGTGTGGCTCAGAAACTGGGAGGGAGATGCTGATGTAAGCACAGCTGCCCAGCGCCCTGCTCTGCTCAGCTGGGCCCATGCTGACCTCCGCCCTGCTGGCCCTCTGCGCCAGACTGTTCCTTGCTCTTCAAAAAAGGTGTATTTAATGGCAGAGTTAGAGCTTCCCTCTGCTGGTTCACTCCTCAAATGCTCCCAGCAGCCAGGACTGGGCTAAGCCTAAGCCAGGAGTCTGGAACTCCATCCAGCTCTCCCACGTGGGTACAGAGGCCCTAACACTTGGGTCATTTGCCACTGCTTTCCCAGGTGCATGAGCAGGGAGCTGGATCGGGCGTGGAGCAGCTGGGACACAAATCAGTGCCCGTGTGGGAAGCGACCTCACAGACAGCGGCTTAACCGGCTGTGCCACAGCGCCACCCGGGGCAGTTCTTTATAGTGGGCGCTGTCCGGTGCTGTCTTGGGCAGCATCCTTGGCTTCTGCCGGCCGCATGGCTAGGATACCTCTCACCTCCCGAATGTCTGTCTCGATGATGAAAACCCTCTCCAGACATTGCTGGTAATGTGTTCTGGGGCCTGGAAGAGGCCAGAGTGTCCACCCTGGGAGTCCTGCCTTGGTGTGAGATGGGGTATGAGGGTGACGGGGGACCCTCCTCTGCTCCTCGCTTGGCAACCTCAGCCTGAAACCCTCGTCTGAAAGTGGCTGAGTGGGTACAGGAGAGACACTGAGGTGTGGCAAGTGTGGGGCGTGCTGGGTGACGTGGGGACACTCAGGCTGACGCACTGGGCAAGTCTGCTGCTTCTGGACGGAGTGGCCGTGGTGGACTCCGCCGGGACCGAGCTGCGTGGGGAACATGGCTGTTGTTGCCCTGGCCCTGTCTGTGCACAGTCTGTCATGGACAGTGGGGCTCCGGCCGGGTCATAACCACGCCATTGTGACTGGTTTTCTTTTTTTTCTTTTTTTTATTTTTTGACAGGCAGAGTGGACAGTGAGAGAGAGAGACAGAGAGAAAGGTCTTCCTTTTGCCGTTGGTTCACCCTCCAATGGCCGCCGCGGCCGGCGCACTGCGGCCGGCGCACCGCACTGATCCGATGGCAGGAGCCAGGAGCCAGGTGCTTTTCCTGGTCTCCCATGGGGTGCAGGGCCCAAGCACCTGGGCCATCCTCCACTGCACTCCCTGGCCACAGCAGAGGGCTGGCCTGGAAGAGGGGCAACCAGGACAGAATCTGGCGCCCCGACCTGGACTAGAACCCGGTTTGCCGGCGCCGCTAGGCGGAGGATTAGCCTAGTGAGCCGCGGCGCCGGCCGTGACTGGTTTTCTAAATGGCCATTTGGAGGGCACGTGGTCACGGCGCAGTGCATGACCTGTGTCCTGTGTGGGGCTGTTTTTCATACCGTGTGGCTGGAGAAGTTCTGGATGGCACAGCAGGGCTCCTTCCTTGAATCTGGGTGGCATGTCCATGCTGACCCATAGAGTGACACACGTTGAGCGTGACACGTGGAACATAACACACGGAACGTGACACATGTGAAGCATGACACACGTGGAATGTGGCACACATGGAACATGACGTGTGGAGTGTCACACATGTGGAATGTGACATGTGGAGTGTTACGCACATGTGGAGTGCCACACACATGTGCTGAGTGACTTTCTAAGCTAGATTGTACAGTTTTTGTGTCTTTGAGCCCTGAGCCGCCATTTAAGAAGTGTGACAACCCTAAGACCATGTGGCAAGAGGGGCCACGTGTCGCTCTCCAGTGGACAGTGTCCGCCTAACCCAGCCTTCCAGCTGCCCCGCTGGCCTTGAGTCCCCCAGCCCAGCCCGACACCAGCTGGACACCCACCACGACTCCTGTCCTTGCCACCTGACCCACAAAATAGGAGACAGAAACTGTCACTGTAGATGACTCCTAAAAAGCTAAGCCAGCCTCTCTGGTTCTAGAAGCTTCTTGAGAAAGGGTGTGTGGTCTTGCTGAAGAACTGTGGTGGACCGTCAGGGCTGTGCACAAGCTCTGGCCTGCCCTGTTGACCCCCGTGCCTCTGTGGCTCAGTCTAGGAAGCCATCACCAAATGTCGTACGTGAATACCGAGACACCAGTGGAAACAGGTGAGGTAGCCCTGGTCTGGGGTGGGGTCAGCTGGTGCCCTGGCCCAGAGCCGCTTCGTGGAGCCTCAGAAGTTCACCGCTTGCACGGCCTCACAGGTGCTCACACCACGCGCACGCGCTGGGGCTGTCTGCATCCAGGGCTGGTGTCAGCGCGCTCCTGGGTGCGTGTCCTGCAGGCGAGCAGCTCTCCGTGTGGACGCGGGTATAGAGGCGCACACGCATGTGCTGTTAGCCAGCGGGGCGGGGGAAATTACTCAAACCCCGCCTTCCTTATAGCAGAGCTGGCAGCTTCCGTGTGCATGTGCACTTGCTGGAACAATTTTTTTTTTAAGATTTATTTGCCTTTCATATATTTATTTATTTGAAAAGCAGAATTACAGAGAAAGCGAGAGAAAGCGCGAGAGCTTCCAGCTGCTGATGGCTGCACCATCCAGGGCTGGGCCAGGCTGAAGCCAGGAGCTCCATCCGGGTCTCCCATGTGGGTGCAGGGGCCCAAGGACTTGGGCCATCTTCCACTGCCTTCCCAGGCCACAGCAGAGAGCTGGATCGGAAGCAGAGCAGCCAGGACATGAACTGGCACCCATAGGGGATGGCGGCATTGCAGGCCGTGGCTCTGCCCGCTGTGCCCCCATGCTGGCCCCACTGGAACTCGAGGGACCTGAGAAGTAGCACAGTGACCACTGTCAGAAGACACCGGGACCCCTTCAGCTTTGCCTTCTCCCAGAAGCCAGGGTTTGCTTGAGGAAACTCGGAACTGACCCGCTGCCCCCACCCCTCCCCGGGGCCCCTGGGCTGGTGTGGTGGCCACAGGCCCAGGCATGGCAGTGCTGAGGTTGCACCGGTGGGAGAGTGCCCGCCATGGGAGTGGCTGGCTGTCCTCTCCGTCCTCTGTGGGATCAGTCGGCACCAGGCTGGGGCTCGGGGAACGTGAGCACGTGTGTGCGTGGTGCTCAGAACTGGGATGTGCGCTCCTCGGGCTTCTCGGCTTGCTGGCCTCCGGTTTTGTGGAAAGTGTCCTCGGAGGCCAGTCCAGGTAAGCAGGGCTGGCAGGAGCCCTGGGAAGGTCGCGTGGACCTGCGCAGGGAGTGGAGGATGGGCAGGGGGCTGGAGGTGGGAGTGGGGGGCAAGTGGCAGGGGTCCCCGGTGCTTCTGTAAGCCCGGGAGCGTGAGCGCCTCTGGGCGCCTCCAGCTCCAGGTGCAGGCACAGCTCTGCAAAGGTGGCCCCTGTGCAATGCAGCCGTCCAGCTGGAGGACCTACAGGCATCGTCTACAGGTGCAGGAAGAGAGGGAGGCGGGAGGGCGTTGGTTCAGCTTGGCCCTGTGCGTTATTCTGCCTCTGGGGCCAGGTGAGCGGCCCATGGGGTCAGGCCCTGGTTAGTTCTGAGTCCAGATGGGACCCTCCTTTCACAGTGGCCTTCAGACCAGGCCCTGCTGCTGCCCAGGGGACGTCCTGCCCACGGTGTGTCTGGTCTGTCCTTAGCGGGCAGCGTTGAGCTGACGGTTCATGGAAAGCCAGCTCCAGAATGCTTACCATATTTGGGTTGGTTTGGGAAGTTTTCTGTTAGCTGCTGAGCCCTGGTGGGTTTTGGTGCTGTTTCCGGTGCTGCGGCATGGGGTTCAAGGCGGCAGGACAGGGAGGAAGCCCGTTCCAGGCTCCCCAGTCTTCCTCCTTCCCTCCCTCCCTCTGCGCCTGCCAACAGGGATTTCTTGCTGTCGTTTTCTGTTTGCTCTAACGGTTCTCAGCTGAGGCTGGAGGACTCCCCACAGCACGGTCCCCCGCAGCACCTCCACCCCAGGGGTCTTTGGATATGGGAGGGGCGGCCTGCCCGCGGCTGTCAGGGACTGGGGAGCAGGACCGCACAGGCGTCACTCCTGGGGTGCTGGTGCCAAGGTTTTGCCAGTCTTTGGTGCTAAGATACGCAGGTGGTACCGGGAGCCCTCTGGACCCCAGGCCCCGCAGCTGGGCATGGAATCGCCCGTGAAGGCCCTTTGCCTCGGCCTGCCCATCTGTAAGCTGGAGCTGACCGTGCCTCGGGGTTTCTGTGTCCGTCAGGCGGCCGGAGCAGCTGCTGGCACCCCATGAGCATCGGGAGTTGCTGCAAGAAAAAATAAATCTCTCCCGTCTCCCTTCCGAGTCTTTGTGTCTGCAGGTTTCAGGACAGTTTTTAGTTCCAATGTAGCCGAGCGATCTTAGATTAGTTCCTGAAGGCGTGACTGTTCCTCAGAGGCCGGCGGTGCAGTGGGTGGAGTGCGGCGTCCAGCAGACGCGGTGTGTGAGTGGCAGATACTGGCAGCCGTGAGGGTGCTTCCGGAAGTCGGGGGGGAAGGGAATTACAAGATGAGCTGATGGCCGTGCGGCGCTGCCCTCAGGTCCGTGCACGACTTGTCGTAGTGCCTGTTTTTCATGAACTTTTGGAAGGCCCTCGTAGGCCCGGATTCCAGGACACTTTTGCACAAGGAACTTGAGGTTTTTATCTCTCCACAGACTCTCGGAAGGACCCTCTGACTTAGGCCCATTTTCCCAGTTCTAGGGTGGGAGCCGGCAAGTAGACTGTTCCTTGAAATGAGTGAGCTTTTCTTAGAAGGCCAGGTGCTCCTGGAGCAGGCGAGGAGAGAGCTCTGTGGCTGTTTCCCCCACCCCGCGCCGGGACCCAGTGGGGATGGGGGAGAGGCCTCCCTCGGCTGCTGGACCTGCCTCCCTGGGGGCCGGTGGCGGTGGTCTCGCTCCTTCCACCAGCCCCCCAGCAGAGCAGGTCGGGCTGCCCCGGCCGTTGCACGTCAGCAGCCCGGACTCGGGCCAGCGCTGTCTCAGCCTGTTGAACCCATGAAGGCGTCCACAGCTTTGAGCCAAACCCTGTCATCCACTGATGTTTCCAGCAGCGCCCGTGCCAAAACCAACATGAGCCGGCGGGCGCGGCCTGCGAGACCTGTCTCAGCTGCTGTGCGGTGCTCTCTGGTGACTGGAAAGAGCGCTGTGACAGGGCCCCACGCGGGATGGCGGCCAGGGCCAGGCTCTGACGGTTGCTCACTCCCGCCCCGGGACTCTGAGGGCTCCTCTGATGGACGGGAACAATCCCGCCCCAGTGTTTGACCTCCTGAGTCTGAGTCACAGGTTGGACAGCTTTCCGGCGTCCTGCGACCAGCGAGTCGCGGAGCTGGGTTTGGAGCCCCAGCTCTGCCTGCGGCACGCCGGCTGGCCTTTGTCTCGGGGTGACTTCCCCGTGGAGCGTCCTTTCTGAATGGAGGCACACAGTTCAGCCCCAGAACCGAAGGCAGGAAGGGGCGGGATGACTGGCATCCGCCGAGCACCAGACACTGTGTGTGCGTTCACTGCGCGTCTGCACAGCTGCGGCGTGGGTGCTGGACCCCGAGTGCCAGCCTTGTGTAAGTGTCACCACCCTGAGTGGCAGAGCAGGGGTGTGACTGGCGCCTGGCTCTGCTGTGCGGCAGAAGGCCCGGAAGCCATCTTGGCGGGGTCACTTGCAGCTGTGGGGCAGCACATGTGCATGTGGGGGGCACTCCCCGAGGGGTCGGGTGAGCCTCCGTGGGCTGCAGCCTGCTGCCCGGGCGTCGGAGTGCCCGAGCCCCCGGGTGCCGGCCGTGAGGGCTCGGCAGGGCGGGCCCCTGCTCCACAGCCCTGGCTCCGGGGGCTGGCGCCGTGGAGGGTGCTCGGTGCAGAGGCTGCCTTAGTGACCGGGACGTGCACCCTGCGTCCTCGCTCGCGCTTGCAACCCGTGATTCGTGTTGGTTGACGTCTGATTCTCGCCGTTGCTCACGGCCGAAGCTCCTGGGTGGCTGAGCCGGGCTCGGATGCCGCTCCTCCTCCTCCCGGGCCGTGCGCTCCGTCGGGGAGGCTCTGGGAACGCGCTCCGGCGGGGACGGCCGTTCACCGTCAGCCGCTCTGCGCTCACTGGTCTGCTTCGGTGGCTGTTTCTGTGGGGGGTTTGTGCGAGAAGGGGGTGACACGTAGGTGTCTGTCATCTGCCTGTTTCAGACTAGCGTGGGGCCAGGGAACGGGTGCAGGGCAGGTGACTGCTGCCCGCGTGTGCCTGAGTGCGTGGTGTGTGTGTGTGTGTGTGTGTGTGCGCGCGCGTGCGTGCATGCTGCAGGCTCCACCCTTAGCACTCGGGTGCCCTGCGATGGGAGCCATCTTGGCTGTGCCCACCATTGTTTAGGGTTCTCCTGGCCTGACATCCCCTTCCTCCTCCAGACCTCCAGCCCCAAGCTTCCCTTTCCAGCCTTCCCCAACGCGCGGCCTCTTAACACAGGCCGCGGCCCGCTCCAGCCCCTGCTGCAGGCTCAGCCTTGCCTCCTGGGCCATGGGCTGGGGCACGGTGGGGAGGGGGAGGATGTGGCAGGGCACGGGGGTCTTGCTTCAGCCTCGCCTCCCGGGCCCCGGGATGTGAGGGACTGAGTGCCGAGCCTGGGAGCCGCTGGGGTCCCGATTGGACCGTGGCTCTCCCCGGCCAGACACAGATGTTGACGATGGGCGTCGTCCTCCACCAGCCCCCACCCCTGCGGGCCCGGCACAGCCACCTGCGCCTGCCTGATGGATGCCGGCATTGGGCTGGATTTGGTTTGAGACTGGAAAGACTTTGTGGCTCCTCCATCTGTCTGCCGGCTCCCAGCGTGAATGACCTTTTGTTGTGTGATGCCAGGGCTGTGGGTCCCTCGGGGAGCAGAGCCCAGAGCAGCGTCTGGGGAGGCCCTGAGGGTGCTCTGACCGCGCTGTCTCTGCACCTGCTGCGTCACATGCTGCTGCCCTCCCTACCACCCTCCCTGCACTGTCTGGATTAAGAGTGGGCCAGGAATGCAGGGGGGAGGGGCGGCGAGGGCCCTCTGAGCCTGTTTGTGTTTAGATGAGTCGCCCTGTTGCTTATCAAGGCCTTGCTGATGCCTGAGTGTTGGGAATAAGGGAAGCCTAGAAAGGGGGCCCTCTGCCCGCCCCTCCTCCCCTACATGCCTGGGGGCAGTGGCTCCCTGGTTCCCTGTTGTATGCAGGGGGCACATCTGCGGCTCCAGACCCCATCTCTCCCCGGATGCTGCATCGTGGAGAACAGGAGCCGGCCCAGGGCATGCTGACTCCCTGGCTCTCCCTCCCTTCTCTGAGCTCTCTGCACCCACACCCCGCTGTGAGGCTCCTGCCCTGGGCTGTTTTCCTGCAGGGAGGCCTGGGGGACGCTGTGCTGGGCAGGTCAGTATTGTCTAGACTCATTCAGGTAGCTGTGCCAGGCGGGGGAGGTGACCCCGGCACACAGCCTGGGGCAGGTCAGGCGGCATCAGTGACTTCGCTGGGAGCAGGGAGGGAGGCCTGTCGACCTCTCCTTAGAAAGTCGGTGACTTTGCGGCAAAGTAAAAGGAGCTGTTTTCTGGTTTCCGTTGCATTGTTCGAGAGCTGTGCTGATTTGTGGAAAGCTCAGATGGTGCGCAGACAGCGTGCGAGAGAGATGGTGCCCGCGGCCTGCAGCCTGCGCTCAGATGTGGGGACACCCCTTGTCGTGTCTGAAGAGTAACCAGAGTGGCCACTGGCCCGAATCTGCGGATTTCTCCCTCAGTCACAGTGGTGCCTCGGGCTCAGTCGAGCCTCCCCGCCGGCCCTTGTCTTACTGAGCACGTGCGGTGAGCGGATTGCGGCCGGCCACCACGGGGCTGTGCCCATGACGCTGCCGAGCGGCTTGCCCGGGGCAGGGCCACGTTCCGGCGTTTACCGTCCTCGCGCCGCGTGCTGCCCGCCCGTTGCGCTGTGGTCTGAAGTGATGAAATGTCCCGAACTTCAGGTGCTTTCCTTTTCTGGCACACGGAGCTTGTGTAACTAGGAGGGAGAGGTCTGAGGGCTGGTTTTGCAGCTTCAGAAGCTAGAATCCAGGACTCTGCCTGCCGCGTGCGTTTTTCCGGGGGTGACCCTCGTGTGCCTACCATTTCCTGACTTTGTGAGATGTTGTCACCTGGACGTTACATAGTCGAAAGAGCGCCCCTAACGGCCTCTGTTTTGGACAGTCTGTCCCAGTCTCCTGTGGCTCCTAACACTTTACCCAGGAGGACTTCTTGGCAGTAAAAGTCGAAAATGCTATTTCGTTACCTGATAGGGAGTTTGAGAACCGGAGTTCTTCTTTGAAGGTGTAACCCCCCGAGTAAGCCCTGGAGCATTTCTGGGCAGCAGGCTCTGGTTTCTTCTAGAATGTTGGCCAGGCCCAGAGGATTAATGACCTGTTGTTCCGCCCCTTTGAACCTTATCTCCCTGACCCGCTGCAGTCCCCAGTGTCACCTGAAACTTGGGCCTGCTCCTTGGCTGCAGCTCTCTGGCTTTGCACTCTGGAGCTGTGATGGTGATAAGGCGGTCCTGTGTCTCTTAAGGAGCTTTCCTTTCCTGCCCCAGGGGTTGTGCATTGAGGCTCCCTGCCTGCTCCTGGGGCTGGCGTCCAGGGCTCCCAGTAACCAGCGACTGTAGGTAAGTGGTGGGCGCGGCTGCCAGCCTGGTTCTCTTCGTAAACTCACGTGGCACGTGGGAGTAGCCAGCGTCTCTCTCTGGTCTGTGAAGCCTTGGCGAGCGGGTCCACGTGCGTGTTCAAGTTGGACTGGAAACACGGGCTTCCCTGGCTCTGCCGCACGTGTGACAAGCGTTGGGCGTTCGACCACTGCTGTTGACAATCATCCTTTGTTGGCGTGGCAGAACGGTAGAAGGTGACCCTCTGGGAGTGGTGCCCGAGCATCCTGGCTGTGCCTGGCGGGTGAGTCCTCAGGCCTGGGGGCTCTGGGGGCTCTGGGGGGCTCTGAGGGGCTCTGATGATGGAAGGGCTCGTGCTGCTGTCCAGCCTTGGGCCAGGCTCACAGGCTGCAGCTGGGGACAGGCCCCGTTCTGGGTGAATTCCTGCCAGCAGCTGGATCCCCCTTGCCTGTGTGTGCTGGTGCTAAGCTGTGGGGACCCTGAGGCACCGCTTTGCCAGCTGTCCCGCCATGGGTCACGGCTTGGTCTGACTCGGCCGCGGGGGCACCACACGGGCGTCCTCCTTTGTGGCTGTTCAGGGAATTTCTGTAGCTACCAACCAGCAACTAGCGCCTTGTCTCTGGAGAGGGGACTCTCGATCCTGCCACTAGGGGATGCCCGTCTGTGCCCAACCCACATAAGGGCATGGAGACGGTGCAGGGCCGGTCAGTGTCATGTCACTGGGCCCCAGACTGGGATCTCAGGGACCCGGATTGTTGAGGTTTTTTGAATTTATTTGAAAAGCAGAGCTTCAGTGAGAGAGAGGGAGAGAGATCTGTCTGCTGGTTCACTCCCCACATGACTGAAACAACCTGGCTGGACCAGGCCAAAGCCAGGAGCCTGGAAGTCCATCTGGGTCTCCCACGTGGTTGGCAGAGGCTGAGCGCTAGGGCCGTGTTCCGCTGCTTTCCCAGGCTGTTTGCAGGGAGCTGGGTGGGAAGAGGTGCAGCTGGGACTCGAACGGGCACCCACCTGGCTGCTGGTGTCCCACACGGCAGCTTGAGCGACCATCCCAGCGCTGGCCCCGCGACTGTGTGATTCTGTTCCCTGGAGGAGCCTGGCCTGACACGGTGCCCAGCCACAGGGCACTTGGGCAGCTGGGAGGTGAAGCAGCCATGCGTTTCAGCAGGAGCTTGTGTGCTGGAGACACCTGACGAGTTTGCTCTCCTCTCATCCAACCTTGTGTTGGAGAGGCTGATTCGGCGGCCTGTGCTACCGATAGGAATGACGAGAGAAGTCCTGCTCTGATGGGGAGCGGGCGGAGGCCGTGCAGGCCCTCACCCTGGCTGTGGGACCCCGACCCCGTCCACAGTGCTATGGGGGGTGGACAGAGGCCGTGCAGGCCCTCACCCTGGCTGTGGGACCCCTGCCCACTCTGCTATGGGGGGTTGGGCAGAGGCTGTGCAGGCCCTCAGGCTGGCTGTGCCCCCCACCACCCCACCCCCCACCTCCATCCACAGTGCTATGGGGGTTGGGCAGAGGCTGTGCAGGCCCTCACCCTGGCTGTGGACCACCGCCCCCACCCCCCACCCCCGTCCACAGTGCTATGGGGGTTGGGCAGAGGCTGTGCAGGTCCTCACCCTGGCTGTGGGGCCCCTGCCCACTGTGCTATGGGGGGTGGACGGAGGCTGTACAGGCCCTCTCCCTGGCTGTGGGCCCCCCCCCCCGCGCCGTCCACAGTGCTATGGGGGTGGACAGAGGCCGTGCAGGCCCTCAGGCTGGCTGTGCCCCCCACCACCCCGTCCACAGTGCTATGGGGGATGGGCAGAGGCCGTGTAGGCCCTCACCCTGGCTGTGGACCACTGCCCCCACCCCCGTCCACAGTGCTATGGGGGTTGGGCAGAGGCCGTGCAGGCCCTCACCCTTGCTGTGGGACCCCTGCCCACTCTGCTATGGGGGGTTGGGCAGAGGCCATGCAGGCCCTCACCCAGGCTGTGGACCACCGCCCCCACCCCATCCCTGTCCACAGTGCTATGGGGGTTGGGCAGAGGCTGTGCAGGCCCTCACCCTGGCTGTGGCCCCCCTCCCGTCCACAGTGCTATGGGGGTTGGGCAGAAGCTGTGCAGGCCCTCACCCTGGCTGTGCCCCCCCCCCCGTCCACAGTGCTATGGGGGTGGACAGAGGTTGTGCAGGCCCTCACCCTGGCTGTGCCCCCCCCCCCGTCCACAGTGCTATGGGGGTGGACAGAGGTTGTGCAGGCCCTCACGCTGGCTGTGGGGCCCCTGCCCACTGTGCTATGGGGGATGGACGGAGGCTGTACAAGCCCTCTCCCTGGCTGTGGCCCCCCCCCACCGCGTCATCCACAGTGCTATGGGGGTGGACAGAGGCTGTGCAGGCCCTCACGCTGGCTGTGCCCCCACCCCCCCGCGCCATCCACAGTGCTATGGGGGTGGACAGAGGCCGTGCAGGCCCTCACACTGGCTGTGGGGCCCCTGCCCACTGTGCTATGGGGGGTGGACGGAGGCTGTGCAGGCCCTCTCCCTGGCTGTGCCCCCACCCCCCCGCGCCATCCACAGTGCTATGGGGGTGGACAGAAGCCGTGCAGGCCCTCACGCTGGCTGTGGGGCCCCTGCCCACTGTGCTATGGGGGTGCTTCAGCTCTGGGTTTATTCATTTCTGGGAAATGTTAAGATGCAGAGATGATTAATCCACACATCATGAATCTGGAAGTTCTTGGGTCTTGATTCCTGAATTAAATTTTGTGACGGATCAGAGGAGGGAGTAGATCAGTAAGAACGAGTTAATTACGGTGGGGCCTGCCTTTTCTCCCTTCTTAATAGCCTGCACTGCAGGGGCCTGTGTTGTGGCACTGCTGGTTAAGCCACTGCCTGCGATGCCGGCATCCCACGTGAGCTCCGCTTCGTGCCCTCGCCACTCCGCTTCCTACCCAGCTCCTTGCTAACGCACCTGGGAGAGCGGCAGAAAATGGCCCGAGCCCCCGGACCCTTCCACCCGCGTAGAAGACCCGGACGGCGCTCCTGGCTCCTGGACCCGGCCTGGCCCAGCCCTGACCTTTGCAGCCATTTGGGAAGTGAGACCTGTGGTTGGAGGGAGTGAGTCACTGGGTGGAAGGTCTGTGGCTCTCTCTCTGTAATGCTGCCTTTCAGATAAGTACATAAGTGAGCAAATAAATAAATAAATCTCTTACAACAAGCAAAACCGGAGAACCAGGCAGTGTGTGCTCTTGGCGACCTGTCTGAATGCCATCCCTTCAGGAGGTGATGTGGCCAAGGGGGACGAGAACACAGAGGGCCTCACCATCCTGGAGAGGACTTGAAAGATGGCGGCGGGATGATTGACAGCCCACAGCACAGCCCCTCCCAGCCACGGGTTGTCCTGCTCGGGAGCCCGCCTGCCCCTCTTGCCTGGCAAGCTGGCTTCGGAGGTCACGCTGCTGTCCTAGGGCGCCTGATTGTGCCACGCGGACACGGGGGAGTCAGCTGTGGCACTCTCTGTTAGGCCACCCTTCCTCGTACCGTGTGAAACCTAAGTGGAGCCTCAGGCATTAGAAGGCCACAGTGGACTGGACGGCGCTTTCTTTTCTTTCGTTTTTAAAATTCTTCGTGGAAACACATGCACAGATCTTCCATCCCCTGATTCTCTCTCCGAATAGCTGCCACAGCGGGGGCTGGTCCAGGCCAAAGCCAGAAGCCCAGAATTCTGTGGGGGTCTCCCACGTGGTGCGGGGGCCCAGGGACTTGGGCCGTCATCTGCTGCTTTCCCAGGCGCATGAGCAGGGAGCTGGAGTGGACAAGGAGCCGTCGGGACTGGGAGTGGCACTGCTGGGCTGCGGGCATTGCAGGCAGCAGCTTCAGCTGTGCCACACGCCAGCCCCTGCTCAGGGTGTTCTTCTGGGGAGCCAGGGACGTCTCCTGCCGTATTTTCTGATAAATCAAATTTTGAAAGACTTTTTCAGACCCGCTGTTTTGTGCAGGGCCATTCAGCAAGTTGCTGGCGTGCAAATGCTGTGAACACGTTGCCCAAACATAAATTAAGTACATGGTTAGAGAAATCACCGTGCCTTTAATCCGAGGGCTTAGTGCTGCGGTTCGCATGAAAGGCGTCTGGAGGGCTCGCGCTCAGGAGCAGAGTAAACAGGGAGTAGGGAGGAATGTGTGGTGAGCAGCGCGCCGGGGAAGCGGCCTCGTCCCTCCGTGCGGGAGCCGATGGAAACCCAGCCTCCGCGGCTGCCGAGCGCACGGGTGTTTCAACAGCAGGGGCTCGGAGATCAGAATTGCAGGCTGTGCACCTGCTGCCACGGGTCCGGCTGCTCGATGACACAGCAGGCTGAGGCTGGTCGCTGGTTGACTTCTCGTGGGGCTGTGTTTCTGCGGTAGCTCAGACAGCAGGGACTGAAGTCCTAGTCACACTTCTCTCTGTTGGACCTGTGGGCCTTAGGGTTTTCAGTGGTGTGTACCATGATTGCACGTAAAACATCGAGCACTGGTGTAGTTTTACATCCCATTTATTTGTGTTAAGCACATTCTGCTTAAAAAAAAAAAAGACGTATTTATTTGAAAGTCAAAGTTAGAGGGAGAGATGGGATGGGGTTGGGGAGATCTTCCATCTACTGTTCACTTCCCTGATGGCTCCAACAGCCAGGGCTGAGCCAGGCCAAAGCCAGGAGCCAGGAGCTTCATCCAGGTCTCCCACCTGGGTGCAGGGGCCCAAGTGCTTGGCCCGTCTTCCACGGCTTTCCCCAGGCCATGAGCAGGGAGCTGGATTGGAAGTGCCAGGACCAGCATCCATATGGGATGCCGGTGTGCTTGGCCGTTGCGCCACAGCGCCGGCCCCCCCTCTGCTCACGCTGCGTAGCTTAGCATTTGGTGATGTTGTGTGTCTTGTTGTGCTGGGGCTGCCCTGTGCTGGGGCCGCGGGGTCCTTGCCGGTTTGCGGCTGCTGTGAACACAGCTGCTGCAGGCATCCTGAGCCGGCGGCTTCCGTCCTCTCCCTGCTGGGCCAGGCTTCTGCCGAGAGCGAGCCCTGCAGAGGTGTGCGGGCTCTGCAGCCTCGCTTCCAGGCTGCTACTTCCCATTCGCTTCCCGAGCCCCCTGGAGAGACTGCATGGGAGAGAAGAGGCGGCTGGAAGGGCAAGGACCTGAGTGTGGCGCCGCCCGCCTGGCCGAGAGCAGTGCTTGTCACACAGGGGCGTGGAGACTTTGCCTGCTGGGGGCTCATCAGACAGCTGAGGGCTAAGCACACGGGCTGCAAGTTCAGTGTGTTAGGAACCGCTCCGAGCCCAAGCTGGCATCTCCGCCGACCCCGGCC